CCCTTCCACGTTGCCCCGCCGCTCGCCCAAGTCTTTTGGGGTAGGGGGCTGACCAATCAGGCAGGGCCAGAGCGTGAAACGCCAACTCAGCCCAGCACGACGCCCAGCCTCCTTTTCGGCCCCAAACCCAGCCCAGCCCAGCCGAGCGCTCAGCCCGCCGTGCCCCCACAATCCCTCCCGCTCACCCACTGCATCCGGCACCTGCAGCACACGCCCCATCGCCACCTGCACCGTGTCTGGGGCCGGCTGCAGCACGCCGCCGCCCGCCTCCAAAAACGCCTCATAGAGCTGCTGGTCCCTGGGGGGCGGGGCGGCGGGAGGAAGGGGGGGCACACGGCAAGGGCACGGGATTTTGAGTAGGGTGGGCGCGGCAATGGGCCCTGTGAGTGGAGCCCGGCTGCAGCTGCCGCGAGGCGCGGGCGCTGGGGGTGTGGGGAGCGGCGAAGGTCAATCGCAGGCGGGCGCCGGTGCTGGGGGCAGGGTAGTACGACGGCGGGGGGCGCGCCCGGGCCGCTTGCAGTGGGGCGCGCAGCTCCCTGTGATAAGCTGCAGCGTCGCGTTGTCGTGCGAGCGTGCGCACGCGCGCGCGCGCGCGCGCGTGTGTGTGTGTGTGTGTGTGTGTGTGTGTGTGTGTGTGCGTGTGTGTGTCCTGCACGCCCCCCGCGCCCCACCTGTCCGGGGTGACGAAGTAGAGCCCCCTCTGGTGCTGCGCCAGCCGGCGGTAATCCACGGGTGACGCCATGTCGTGGATGACGCACTGCTCCTGCGGGGGCGGTGCATGTCCACAATGTGACAGTGGTGAGGGTGTCAGCCAGACACGCTCGCGAGGGCGGCACAGGCGCCCTTCAAAGATGGTGCCGCCCTGTCAACAAACCAGACTGCAAAAAGCCGGGACCCCCAGGGAAGCTGAACACACACACACACGCGCGCACGCGCGCGCGCGCGTGCACACACGCGCACACGCGCGCGCGCACACACACGCAAGCGCGCGCGCAAACGTGCGTGCACGCACACACGCGCGTACGCGGGCACATGCGCGCACGGGCGCGCGCGCGCGCGCACACACACACACACACACACACGCACATACACAGACACACACACTTACACTTACACACACACGTGCGCGCGCGCACACGCACACACGCACACACGCACAGAGGGATAAAGGGGGCTACATCCGAGCAGATGGAGGATCCTGCGAGGGTGAAGCTTCAGGCGTGACAATGCTCAAAAGCTTGCAGACCCTCTGCTTGGCTGAGGCTAAGAAATCGCCCGTGCTCTCCCCTCCCTAACCGCTACCTTAAGCCGCGCAATGAAGGGCAGGAACAGCGCCCGCTGCAGGCCGCCCTCGTAGAGCCTGTCTGGGGCCCTGTTGCTGGTGGCCACCAGCACGAGCCCCGCGTCCCAGAGGCGGTCGAAGAGGCGGTGCAGTATCATGGCGTCAGCCACGTCAGTCACAAACAGCTCGTCAAGGGCCAGGACCTGGGGGGTGGGGTGTGGGGGGTGTTAGAG